TTAAATATTATAATACGTAACGATAAACGTTTATGTAAAGTAACAGTGGAAAAAATGTTTAATTATGCGGGAAATGAGAACGCCGGCGTTGTAATATATTGTAGTATGCCTAGATGAACGACAATATTTATATCTATTTAATTGTGAAAATATATTGTTTAATTTATTATTCTACGATCCGGATGTGTCATCGTGTCTGTGTATGTTAACGTGTAGCGCGCTCGGAAATAAAATACGCCTCTAAAAGTCTGAACATCAACCACGAGTAGATGGACGGGGCAATAATTTATTAATTAATATWTAACACAATTTATTATTGCACGATTTTCATGATTTATGATCATTTTGATTTATATATTATATTTTATKTTATAATTTCATTGCAAAAATAGTAGAAATACCTACCTATTATACTGGTGTACWATACGTTGTTTCGATGTAACTGAACGTCGACCAGTCGAGAAYACGCACTATCAGGATTTCACTTGAGTGGCCGAGTTATACATGATGGTTGATTGCGTGTCTAGTTGTCATACGTTGGACAAAACTATTTTCTTGCATCAGCTATATGTACATGTACTTGGTAGTTACTTCGTGCTAATTTGGTGTGTTTTTAATGTTTTTATAGTCTAAAAGAGATGTAAAACATCTGTAGATGATAAAACAGTTAGATTAGTTTCAAACTGAATTTCTATATTTCGAATAATAACATTTTCAAATTAATTCAATAAAAATAAATAGTTAACTAAAAATTCAAAATCACAATATTTTTGGTAGACTCCGAACAAAGCGTTTTATATATTATAATGTTAATTAAAAGAAGTTGACTCAACTAAAAAACAAAACAAAATTCAAAACAATTTGTATTCCTCAACCTTAATAGTCAATATATACAAGACTAAAAAAAAAACAATAAACAAATTTATGATATCTATTGCAAATCGCTATTAAATTATATAATTTATAGAAAAAAAGTATTGAAAACTAGTTTTAACATTTTTTTTTTTATAATGTTAGCTCTCTTATACAAGTCGATAAAGAGATTGTTTAAAAATTGTTATAATATAAAATTGTAACTAACAGCCGATGACATAAATAAATATATTAAAATATAATATAATGTACGTATGATCTCATAACTATTAATAATTCAGACATTAAAAAATAAAATAAAATAAATAAATATGTTATTTTTAAATACTTAGCTTTACTACGAGTAWATTTTACACATTTTACTAACTACACATAAAATGCAGAATACAAATGGCAAAGCAATATGAAAAAATAATAAAAATGAATACATTCACTTATATTTTAGTAATGCATTTTAAAAAACAAAATTAATCCTACAAGTCTTTTTTTTTAATGTTTACACACCACCAACTAACATTGATTTTTTTTAAATTTTATGTTCCATAAAAAAATCACATTGCACTTAACAAATATATTCACACAAACATACTTACAAAATAAACTGTATGTACGATTTTATATTAACAATCTATATCAAATAACTAAAACCACAAAAACTGATGATTAAACGATAAATATTGATTTTTTTTTTTTTTTTGGAAACTTAGCTATAACAGTGCTTTTACTATAATATAGCATCACAAAGTTATACAAAATTGCACTGGGATCTAATTTAATACTTCAACATATCAGTTTTAAAATAGAAAAAAATTGGTTAAATGGTTAAAAATAATAAAAATAAAAATACGAAAAAAAAAAAATCTTAACACTTATTTACATGAAAGAATACAAAAAAAAGTGATTAATTAAAACCCAATCGCTTGAACGTATTTTTG